AGTATTTTCATCATTTTGTCACATGTTTTATATCGGTCATGGCCTTGTTTTAAGACAATGTAGGCACCTAATAGATAAATTGAAATGGTATCTGACGTATTTTCTCTTATCTTATCCATAGCAATATGAACTACCACACCATTACCATCTTATTTTTTAAAATTTTGTACTACTAATTATTCTACTACCTTATAATACATTTTAAACTTTACATTCACAAATCAGACAATTATCTTCTCACAGATTAACACTGTATAAATATTTACACAAAATATAACTCTTAACAAATAATAACAACATAGATTTTTTTTATTTAAATCATGTAGTCCTTGAATGAATATAGCTACCTAAATTATAAACAAATGTTTTTCTATCCATTGTTGGAAAAAATTCATTACCGACCAACGCTTCATAAATACTCTGATATTGATTGATGAGATACTTACTGCTTATTACTGCTGCTACTTTTAGTGCTTTCAATTTACATTTATGTGTACTTTTACAAGGTCGGAATAGATTATACTTCTACCCACTTTTTACTTTTACTGCACTCAAAAATATGTCATAGTAAATAATTGAGGATTATCAATCGTATGATATTGTCTCATACGATTGGAAATAGCATACTACTGGATAACTTACATGATGAATGAAAGAAGATTAGTATAATAACTGTTTCCAACAAGAATATCACATGAACATACAGAATAATACTGCAGCCAATGCTACATCTCATGCGTTATCACTCCTTGTACTTGTATTGAGATCTTGTTTCAAAGATATCACTGGCTGTCTTATCCTCAGAAATAATACATGACACGTTTTACGATATAAATATGTAGCTAAAGTGGCGTTTGCCCAGACGGGGTACATAGAATTATGTAGAATTAGAGGGGATACAATTACTAAAATTATAGCAGAATATGAAGAATTCAAATCCTAATAGAAAAGATATGAAGAATCCTCGGGAAAATTTGCCTTTTCTGAGTTCGGAATGGAAGGTTGCTGTTATTATGTAGATTACAACAGAGTGACGTTCACCCTTTGGTCACGCTATTTTTTGTTGCTTTATGCAGAGCACGGTCATGACCAGGTTGCTGATAAGCAACTGTAAATACGAAAATTTAGCATGAAAAGTTTGTAAATATTATTGCCTGCCGATTAGAGATTACAGTATTTATAGGTAGTGAATGCCTATTAAACGTTTCATTGCTAATCGGACATACGATTCACATCTGACATCAAGGATATACAAGCTGAAGTAGCAATGAGCCGGTCGCGTCTAACGAGTGAGGGATGAGACGACCCGGTGATCGAAATGAGGGGAAATCTTAGAATGGAAGTCGCGTACAGGAAAACGTTCTCGTGGGTTATATTGTTACCAAATGGATCAATAACCTCCTAAACCCATGTAAGTAAGTGTGAAGAAAGTGGACACGAAAATTTGAAGCGTAAATGAGTTACGCTGTTTGGCCATGTCTGAGTCCAATATTCGCCAGCTGAAACGATAAAGCTGTTAATTTCCAAAATGGTATTTATATAGTATATTAGTACATTCACTATATTAACTTTATATTTTCTTACCGCATTGTGAAGTTGTGTTGTTAAAGTTTTTTATCATTTACCAAGTCTAAGATTACTTAAATAATTTCGAGTCAAGTTTTATGATAAGCTAAGTAATATGCTAACATTGATAATTCATAGGAATATTATTATTAATTATTACATTCACGAGTAAGTACTTTAATCTAATTTTAATTGTTTAATTTGATACTTGTTGTTTAACACCTCGAGAGATTTTCGGCCGGCCTCAACCCAACAAAATTTGGCACAGTTTTCATCTTAGAGTCGCAGGTTACAGAGGTCATTCACTTGTTTATTTCTATTTGTCATAAGAATGCACATGTAAACAATTTAATCGAATATAAAAAATCGCTCTCCAATTGTGAAGTTAGGGTTACAAGAAAAACAAAAGAGTAATCAAGCAATCAAATGAATATTCGGAGAGTTTCAAACTATATGAGAGACACACTGGAACGGCTAATACATGATATCTTAATAAACGATTAGTACTAGAAAGTGCTAACATTTGCAATGTTCATGTAAGTTAGCAGTCTTCAGGTGTCAGCAAAAGCAGGCGGGCTATCTTCATTTTGAAATTCCGTTGGCACGTCGTCGTGTTCGTTGCATAATTACTTCGACCTCATGGCTCACTACATGTTCCTGTTATAATTTAGGGTTGTCATATACTAGAATATGCATGTTCGATTGCTATAAATTATAAATTGGGAATGCGTTTGATATTTGATCAACGACTCGCTGAAAATCTTCAAATCGAATTCTCTTGAATGGGAATTGAGACTTTTCGTAACCTCTTTGTTGTCTGTACTCTAGCTGCCGTACATTCGACGTGTAATATCCAAGTTCAGATGTAATAATTATTCGAGTTTTTGTTCCAATAATAATGTATTATTAGAAGATTATGTATGCATGTTTTTTGCATTTCTTTTTTTACAAATGACAGCCCTATATAGAATGTCCACAAACTGGTTAAACGTAACGCGCAAACGAGCTCACTTTTTTATCGTCAACTGTATATTGGCTTCATGTTTGCTACTTTTTGCGAATATTTTTTTTTACATAATGAGTACCTACAGCCCTTACTATACAAGGTTACTGTTAGTGTTACTTATTAAGAGAAATGGCAAATGCAGTCCCTAGCTAAATTACATCGCAAATAACAATACGAGTAGGCTTAATTAATGTCGGATCGATAGATATAATAAAAAATCATGTACGCGGTGCATATTCTCAGACATAAATATTTTATGAGTGAATATAAATACGAAGTAGTATTCAGTAGAATAAAAAATTATATAAATTTGTGTAGGTTTCAGTTAATGAATCAAGACAAGAGCAAGGCGAGCAGCCTGTCGATTTTTTCTATAATTCCATTCACAAGTACATAATTGTTTAAACATTAATCTGCCACTATTTATAATATATTATTATTCGTAGCCCTGCCACTTCCATCGAGAATAACATTCGCTAATGGAAAATTCTGTTCATAATTTCTAAATACATCCAGTATCTATACCAAATACTTCTTGATACAGACATCTTACATGCAGTATTTTCTCAAAATTACTATCTAAGGATAATAATGAATTTACTGCGTATGACATTAAGATCATGCCATCAATTTGTCAACAATTCTCAGTCTTTTAGTCCTTTTACTGACTTATCATCTCATTTTAGATCTTCTGAGGCTTTCCTTAGAGACTACGGCGTGGGGTTCTTCAAAAAGGGTGTAATAAGGTTTCTTAAAGGTCGGCAACACGCGCGTGACATCCCTGGTTTTACATGCGTCCATAGGCAACGGTAACACTATTTACCATCAGACGGGTCGTACGCTTGTTTGCTACCATAGTTGTATGAAGAATAGAAGTTAAATGGAAATAGGCAATTAGCAATTTTCTAAATTGTTAAATTATATAACCTTTTTTATTGTAATAGAAGTCATACGACAATTAAATTAAAAATTGTTACACTTGCTGGTGTATATAATATATTCTCAACTGTACGTATGTGTCGTAAAAAAACACGGTACTGTGGATTAAATTTATTTTGTGATAGCGACCAGTATTGCATTTGTTGTTATCGCTGTTTACATTCATATAGTTATATAAATTTTTATGTTCACCGTGATTGTAAGGTTAGATTTTTTAATTTTATTTGGTGCGTTTACAAATAATTAATTTCTTTAATTCTTTAAATAAATTTATTCCTCGGTGTTCGCACAGAAACCTATTTGCACAAAAACCTAAACCTAGTTCATATAACAGTCTAGAAATTCAATTAAAAATTAAAGGTTTTCCCAGATTCAAAGGTTCGCTCATAGTTTATATTCTCCCATGACACATAATAATTCCAGTAAAATCTTATTAAAGTTTATTTTTAGTTAGCAACTTAGTAGATTATAAAATTGTAGCATTTCCTAAATTGTGCTTCAACTGTTATTTATATTTAATTGTTATTGTAAAATGCACTGTATTCACCTATGTATAAGGCAATTTACATTTCTACTATTGCATATTACAAAGGTATATCTGTGTATGTACTGGTTCACCTTATATTTGTAATTTGAGGTCAATATCAGTCACGTATGTACATTTGTTTTGAATGGAGTGCTTGTTATTTATCAAATCGTTTCTTGTTTGCATTGATTACTTATCAGGTTTTTAAGATGCTTTCAGTGAATAGCGACATCCAAGAACTAGCATTGTTCGAGTGACAGACTGTAATCGAATTTAAGATTAATGTAATTAAATTTTAAACAATTATTTCTCCTATACAATGGATTCTTTACAATGGTTTTATTGAAATAAATTTTTATTCATTCATTCATTCATTCATTCATACATACTTTTTCCTTAAAAAAAAGGTCCTTATACTGATTTTTAAAGTAACAGTCTTAAAATTTATACACTAGATGATTGTTTGTTTTTTTTTCTACTGTAAATGCCAAACGACTGGATCTCTCACCGACTAGAGTATCCCGCTGTTACATACAGTTATTGCAAATAGAAGTATCATGATTTACAAATGAAATATCACTGTAATATTTTGTAATAGCATATGTATTATCGCATGTATAAATATATTATTATGTCAAAATAAATTTTAACATCGCCCGTTTGGAATGAAAATTCTGTGCTTCCTAGCTAAATAATTAATATTTTTAATAATTTTTAAATAACATCTTTTTAAAAATCGGTTAAATGAAATTATAAGTATAATTTGATACTTCGGCGATTTCGGACATTGGTTTATTTAGAAAAAAAATTGTTTTGTCTTAACCCTTGAATGTAATATACTTCAAAGAAGTACTTATACGTTTTGTTACATTACATTAATTATATTTTGTGGGTTTTTCTTGTTTATTATATTTAATTATTTGTTATCGATATACCTAACTGGGTCTTTTTTACTTGTTACAGATAACTGTACCTATCTACGGCTGGCAAAAATGGCGCGCGGTACCAAAGTATTTCTCCCCAGTGTTTCCGGGACTTCTAGTCATAGGATAAGCAATTGTTTTGTATATATTGCAACCGTCTTATTGTTAGGCAAGTATTCTAATAATGTTTTGTTTTTATTTTATAAATTCATTAATGCGACGTGTACATATTATGAATTTGACGCCAAAATGTATCAAATTTTGTAGAGCAACTTAAGAGGTCTATTACAGAAACAAGTTACGCAACGAAATTTATACACCCATACACATTACTAATGCTTATTTTCTTTTCTTGTAACTTATGATTATTTTTAATTATATTAGTTTACAAACACGTTAACTATATTTATTATTTATTTTTTACGCAAAAATCTTGTTTCATTTATGAGAAAGTTTGAAATGCTTTCGCTAAAATTAGATAAAAAGTTGGGTTCAATTACGATCAATTGTTCGAATTGAAAATAAAAAAAATCACAACGTCCTTTAGAGAATTGCCAAGTTTTAATGATGATTTTATATTAATTTATTATTATTAGTTAGTAGTTATAATTAAGTTGACCTCAAATTTTACGTCTTAGCGTTTTTTAATAAACACCTTTAGAAGTATAAAACAAGTAAGCATATAATAATAAACAAAGTAAAAATTTAAAAACGCTGTCTTTAAAATAAGAAATCCACTTATGTAGTTTAAAAATAAAAATCTATAGTAGAACCCCATAATTCCATTTTTTCGTTGCTTTATGCAAACAAGTACAAAAGGTTTCTTAATAAGTAGCTAAAAATGTATTTGAGGATGGAGTAAAAAAAAAAGGAAAGAAAGAAAGATCATAGATAAGCTTGTAAAGAATTAATTAAGCCAGAGAAATGCAATGTGCGGTTTCAGAGGAGGTTACTTCTCGCAAACATATAGATACGACTGAACTTTTTCCTAGGTTGTTTCTACAGTATATGGTTTCATAAAAGGTACAGCCTTCTTGGTGTAAGTGTCTAATGTTTGTAGACTATCTACAGAACTGTGATTTACGGTACTCGTTTATCATTAGACGTACTTATTTATTTATTATTTTTTATTGATTATTATATATTTATTATATATATATATATATTATATATATTTATTGATTATTTTTATTAAGGTATACAAATTTTATATTCTCACGTACATTCGATTTGGATCAAAAAATTTTTTTATTTGATTCATAGCGTTGTTAAATCAAGTTATCAGCCTCATGTGTGTAATTGAGTAGGTACCTATTATTGTAAATAATATTGCTAATGTACCGGACAGATAAGAGGAAACGAGCAATTTGCGTGTAGGTAATTTGTAATACTATGTACCTACTTATGAGTGGCCATACACAACCAACCATATCCTGCAGTAAAGAATAGATAATGGTGCTAGTCTACCTGTAGAAATGAATCTACATGTCTACCTGAATAAATCATTATTTTGTGCCGGGTAATAAGTGAAGCATCTAAAGTGTCATAGTAGATTTGGCGCCAATGCGTCATTCACCGAAGGGAGTCTCCCTTACAAGTCTTCTGCTTGAGCACCTCTTTCACATTTGTGTTTCTGCCGCTAAGTAGCTGCTCCTTTACATGGCAGTGTTTCGGTTTGAATTGAAGATGTGGTTATGAAATTATAATTTCATGGCCACATCTTTAATTCAAGATTCTAAAGTTACCAAATATTACAAAAGTCGATTGCTTGGGTACCTCTGTCCCATTCGTGTTTCTACCGTGAAGTAGTGTTTGCATGGCTGTGTTTCGGTTTGAAGACTGGGATATGGCGTGAATTTACCGGGTACAGAGGAATAACACTTGAGTCCTCAGGAATGGCAACAAATGGGGGGTATCATGGGCGAAACAGTATACTCTGTCCATGGCACTGCTCATGTGTATAGGTGATGGTTACCACTTTCCATCAGGTGGGCCATCAGCTTGTTTGCTGTTCTAAGTTGTATAAAAAAAAAACTAAGGTATGGCACCTTAGTCCCTAGGAATGTATGAGCATGAGACGTACATACGAGTATTCTGTGATTTCCATGATACTGTTTGTCTATACGGTCATTAGGTACGCCATCTGTAATATATATATATATATATATATATATATATATATATATATATATATATATATATATATATATATATAAACAAAATTATCCACTAAAACCTAAATACTTACATATATTGATTCCGAACTTCTTATACATAAACTTCCGCAAAGTAATTTCGACTCGTCTGAATTGAATGATGAGTATAATTTTAAAGTCTGTGACACCGCGCGGCGTCTAGACGTTTATCATTGTCGGCTGTGTTCAATAGCTCTTAGATAAATTTGAGCAGTGATTTGAGTGACCTATACGAGGTCATATTGGGTACTTACTGAAGGCCAAATTAATATTGGTCTAGAATTTGTGGGGCCTTTGTTGGTTACACTAAACCTACGTTTTTTTTTAGATAACTCAGTTATAAATAGTTGCCCATTTTGTTACCTTTAAGAAAAGTGGTATGTACTTTCCTTAAAAACGACTATATCATTAAATGAGTCGAACTTGTTTAATTTACCATATACTACAAAAAAATAGGTAAAAAGTTGGATATACCAATGAAGGCCTGCTGCGAGGAAATTACTTGAACGAGTTTTGTACAAGTATGCTTTTTTGTTATTTTGGTATTATATGGACGGTGATAGGTCGGTCGGAGTCCAGAATTATTAAGATCGGATTTCAGCTTTAACTTTTAAATGTTTTAAAGTATTAAATAATTATGTTTGTTAATAGCCGTGACAGTCAGTCGGCACATGGAACTAGGTATTATTATGTAAATGTTATTAGAAGATTAAAGAAGAAAATTCCGGAAAAGTACAAGTGTTTTTTTTATTAATATTAATTATTTTTTATACCACAAAGGTAGCAAACAGGCATACAGTACGTCTGATGGTAAACGGTCATTATAAACTATGGACGCCTGCAATACTAGGGGTGTCCTGTGTTTCATACTGTTTTTGTTGTTTTTAGGTATTCCATGTGCTCACAGCCAAATTGAGAAGATGTATCTCGATTCGACTGACCTCAATCTTCTTGTGGATGAGACGCATCTTCTAAAACTTATACAAATGTAAGTGATTACATATGATAAAATATTCTTACAAAATGTAGTTATTGATTTTTGCCCCAACTTTTTGTGCGTTATTTACTTTACCATCATTTTCCCAATGTCTATTAGAAAGAGTATTTTTTTTGTCTTTTCGGTCACCGATTCCACCAGAAAGTTAGTCAGAAATTAAAGTATCAAAACTCCGAATCTTTGTTTTCCGTAGGATATTTCGATATGTACCTTTTTACAGCTTTCAATAAACAAAAGTAATGAAAGTACTTTATACAGGTGAAATAAAAATTCTTAGTTTAAAAATAAGAAACTACGTAAAAGTTAGAATAATAATTCATTAATTAATATTACGTAAAAGTAAGAATCTATCATTGATATAGAATATATTAGAATAGATATTTTGTAAAACCACAAAATATTTCAAACCAACGAAACACTGGACGCGCTGTATTAATACGGAAGGCTTAAAAAATTATCGTTTTTCGACTCATGTTTGCTTGGTGAAAATGTCTAATTTTACTGGTGAACATTCCTTTTATATCCTTAATACTAACGATTTTGATTGAACCTTGTATATATTTTATATTTAGAAACATTACCAAAAGTCTAACCGAGGTTTCCAACCCGCCTGTCAAGCGTGGAAACTACTGGCAAAACTCCCCTTAGGGGGAAGGTCTAAGTTTTTTTTTTACAACACAGGGGGCAAACGAGCATGCGGCTCACCTGATGGTAAGTGACTACCGCCGCCCATGATCATCCACAACACCAGCGGCATTGCAGGTGTGCTGCCGGCCTTTTAAAAAGGAATATACTCTTTTCTTGAAGGTTATGTTGTCGTATCGGTTCGGAAATACTGCTGCTGGAAGTTGATTCCAATGTTTAATAGAGGACAGTTAACGGACTAATACGATGATGATACTTTATATATTTTGTGTAAAATTTGATCCTTCTACATCCAGTGGTTTTTGTGTTATTTGTCAGTGTTAGTCCTATATGTTGATTAATGTAAATGTTTACAAAATTCCAGTGGCCAGTACAACACCACGCTGGAGGTTTCAGCTCAGATACAGCATCCAGATATAGTTCAGTTGGTGCCGCAAACTGTAGAGATACCAGGTTCGAGTGAGCCGAATACGACTGTTGAGATTTCGCATGACATCTGCGCGTACGGCAAGAGTCCAGGACACTCGGAAGTCACGTTTAATGTCACTCCAACTGGATTTGTTAAGTAAGTATCTATACCTCTTCTTACTCGTTCACTTTTGTCAGCGTAGCCGTGGTCATGTCCATGGTGTACACGGTGGATCTTCATTATTAATTTCTCGATATTGAGGAGAAGGGATTGTTAGTAATGGGGTCTAATAGCCTCATTGCTAGCAATATACCCTCTCAGGTCGACCTCCATGTGGTTTCCCCTGGAAACCATCATGTTTAATTCTTGTCGAATTCATCATGGTGGGCCAACTGACCTGCATTCATTCTCACCTATCATTTTCCACTGGTGCCTCGTGGGTGTGTACTGATAGCGCGGGCTGAGTTACCATTCCATTTTCACCCATTAAAAAAATCACTTGGGGTCAGAATCGGTTTCTCAGGGGTCGACATATACGAAAACTGATTTTGTGGGTCGACAAGATCTAAAAAATCTGTCATTATTAATTAATAATATGCCTTTACAAAAATAATTGCCTTTTTAAGTACTTCTACGTAATTTATTTTAATAATTATTAATTAGATTTGATATTTACTGAATTGCATGTCTATTTTTTTTATTTTGTTGATAAAATGATGTCAAATTTACTCACTTAACCGACCGTTTTTTAATTGCTAAGTTGTTTGTATTAATAGGAGAAAACTAGAGATAGTACCAATTCATTTTGGTAAAGGGATTTCTTGTCCAAAATAGTTTAGGAATCTATGGTATAGATAAATATTCTCTATGAATAGAAAAAACTGTACCCAGTCAAAGTACAACTTTAATAGGCTGTTGTAATGGTGATGAAATAAATTATAACACTAACTTGTAACTTGGATTATGGTCGTGTGTATTTTTTTTATTGAACGAATTTTACCAGAGGGAGACTTTGTACAAAAGTCGATTGCTTGGGTACCTCTGTTCCATTCGTGTTTCAACCCTGAAGCAGTTGTGTTTGCATGGCTGTGTTTCAGTTTGAAGGGTGGGATATGGCGAGAATTTACTGGGTACAGAGGAATAACACCTGAGTCCTCAGGAATGGCAACACATGGGGGGTATCATGGGCGAAACAGTATACTCTGTTATGTCCATGGTACTGCTCATGTCTATAGGCGACGGTTACCACTTTCCATCAGGTGGGCCGTCAGCTTGTTTGCTATTCTAAGTAGCATAAATTTATATTTTTTTCCAGTTTGGACACGGTGTTCCTTCGCATAACCGTGATGCATTCTCACGCAATCAACGTGATCTCGTACATAATGGGCTGGATATATTTCGCGGCGTGGTCGGTCTCCTTCTACCCCCAGATCTACATCAACTTCAAGAGGAAGAGCGTCGTGGGCCTGAACTTCGACTTCCTTGCACTGAACATTATGGGTTTCACAATGTACTCGCTGTTCAACTGTGGATTGTATTTCTCTAAGGAGATCCAGGTATGGAACAAAATGATTTTTTTTTATTCTTATGTAAATTTTTCATTTTACAATATTCATTAAGTTTCATAATCGCTCAACCGATTTTAATGAAATTTATTTTATTATATATTTGTATTGTTTGTTTCGAGTTTATGGATAGAATAGTTTTTATGCCAGTAAGAAAAAATGTACAAGGTAGATGGCTGTAGGGGAAAAAACAACGTTTGCTGAGTCAGTTAGTCTCATAAACTTAACTTACTACATACTAACAGACTGGTTTCAGATAAAGCACACTGTCCCATTCGTGTTGCAAACGTAAAGCAGTTGTGTTTGCATGGCTGTGTTTCGGTTTGAAGGGTGGGAGATGGCATCAATTTACTGAGTACAGAGGAATAACACCTGAGTCCTCAGGAATGGCAACGCATGGGGGTATCATCGGCGAAACAATATACTCTGTTATGTCCATGGTACTGCTCATGTCTATAGGCGACGGTTACCACTTTCCATTAGGTGGGCCGTCAGCTTGTTTGCCATTCTAACTTGTATAAAAAAAAAAATAAACAATTTGCAGAGCGAATACTTCAGCCGTCACCCGCGCGGTTTGAATCCAGTGCAGTTGAACGACGTGTTCTTCTCACTGCATGCTGCCTTCGCAACGCTCATCACCATCGCGCAGTGCTTCATGTACGAGGTGAGTGTAATAATTATCATCAGTCATGGGTGTATCATCGTCATTGTGGGTGTAGTTTTTTCTTAATGGGTAATAGATAGATAGATAGATAATTTATTTACATTACAGCACACAAATTAAATACAAATATACACATAATACACAGTAAAAGAGATAAAAGAATGAAAAACAAAAAAAAAAGCAACAAAAAGCTAAATATATAAAACAACAATTTCCTTATTTTTTTCATGCGTGTGCCATAGTAATACATAATGGTTACTACTCAGTTTATTGCTTTGCCCTCAAAAGAGCAAAACACTGATATTCTGTTGTAGCCAATAATGAAATGGTAACCCCGCCTGCGCTATCGGTATACGCTGGCGGGGCACCAGTAAAGGGTGATAGGCGAGGATGAAAGCAAGTCCGTTAGCCCATCGTGACGAATGCCACTAGAATTAACCACGATAGTTTGGGGGGAAAAGGGATTGTTAGCGATGGGGTCTAACAGCCCCATTGCTAGCAATCTTATTACACAGCTCGACCTCCACGCGGTTCCCCTGGAAACCATCGTGGTTACTTCTCGTGGAATTCTTCACGATGGGCTGACTGACCTGCTTTCATCCCCATCCATCACCTCCCACGTGTCCCGCCAGCGTATACTGTTGGCGCAGGCGAGGTTACCATTCCATTATCACCGATTAAAAAAGAAACTACGATAGTTTCCAAATGGAACCGCGTGGCAGGTCGACCTGATAAGATGTATTGCTAGTAATGGGGAAATTAGAATCCATTACTAACAATCTTTTTCCCCCCTGTGGCTGTAGGAAGTGGTGGTTAAGGGAACTTAACCGTTAAAAGATAGGCAGCAGCGTCCCTCTCAAATAAAAAAAAAAAACCTTGTAGAGGAGGCTCATGTTTAACAGTAGACAATTAATGATTGATATAATTATTTCAACATACATAATAATACACATGTCTTAAAAAGTGTTTAAATGTATTGAATGCATTTTTTTTAAACATATTTCTTCTATTAAATGCGATCTACTGAAATTCATATTGCATTATACATTTTTTTTGTTCTGTTATATGAATAGTTACATTTTATTTCGTTACATAATGAGCAAATTACACGGATAGAAATATTAATATATTCTTCAAGACACCTGTGTTTGTATGCGCAACGGGTGATGCGATAATTGACGTATTAGTGACGTCAGCGGCTAGAGGCCAATGCGGTGATCTTTATATTAAAAAATATATGTTACAATAATCCTTGTAGTTCAATATGGTTATTTTATATTATTGGAACTTAATGCAATGAAAAGTTGTAGGTAAGTAGTACCTATATCATCGTATCAGCCTCTATCTGTCCACTGCTGAACATAAGTCACCCCCTTGGGGAGGGGGGGGGGGGGTTGCTAGTAGTTTCCACCCTTGGCAGGCGGATTGGCAACTGCAGTTAAGCTTTGGGGATGTTTTAAGAGAGATGCTGCTAATCATCCCTCGCCCTTCCTAAGTCGCCTCTTATGACACCCACGGGAAAGGAAAGCGTGGCCTATACTATGCCGGGACCATATTTTATTTTTATTGACATCTCGACTAGTTTTCGTATTTACCTGCAATTTTATATCGCTTTAACTCTTGATAGTGTTAAGTCTTGTGCTAAGAGGTAACAAATGAACTCACTTTTACTAATATCTTTTTTTATGCAATTTAGAATGGTAAACAAGCTGACGGCCCACCTGATGGAAAGTGGTAACCGTCGCCTATAGACATGAGCAGTAACTATGGATATAACAGAGTGTACTGTTTCGCCTATATACCCTACATACCTTGCCATTCCTGTAAACTCAGGTGTTATTCCTCTGTAACCTGTACATTCTATCTAAATCTATACTTATATTTCATATTATAAAGATTTTATTGTTTGTAATGCATAAGCTCATAAACTATTCGACCGATTTTAAAAATTATTTCACTTATAGAAAGCTAAATTATCGGCGAGTAATATAGGCTTATGTATTACTTTCGAAAACTATCTACCCGTGCGAAGCCGGGCTGCATCACTAGTATAATATATAAATAGGATTGTTATTATTGGATTATATTAGTAAGCATTTTTTTTATGCAACTTAGAATGTCAAATTTGATGGAAAGTGGTAACCGTCGCTTATAGACATGAGCTGTAACCATGGACATAACAGAGTGTACTGTTTCGCTCATGATACCCCTCATGCATTGCCATTCCTGAGGACTCAGGTGTTATTCCTCTGTAACCTGTAAATTCTATCTATGTGTGTATGTCTGACTAATGTTATGATATATACATTACAGCGTGAAGAGCAACGCGTGTCGATGACCGGGCGCGGTATACTAGGCGTGTTCGGCCTGGTGGTGGTGGTGTCTGCGAGCGTGGCCGCCGCCGGCCACCTCGCCTGGCTCGACTTCCTCTACTACTGCAGCTACATCAAGCTCAGCATCACGCTCATCAAGTACGTGCCACAGGTGAGTGACTGATTTATTTAGTTTGTAATAGAAAAAAAATACCAGAGGGAGACTTTGTACAAAAGTCGTTTGCTTGGGTACCTCTGTCCCATTCGTGTTTCAACGTAAAGCAGTTGTGTTTGTATGGCTATGTTTCGGTTTGAAGTATGGGATATGGCGTGATTTTACAGGGTACAGAAGAATAACACCTGAGTCCTCAGGAATGGCAACGCATGGGTGGTATCATGGGTGAAACAGTATACTCTGTTATGTCCATGGTACTGTTGATGTCTATAGGCGAGGGTTACCACTTTCCATCAGTTGGGCCGTCAGCTTGTTTGCCATGCTGTCTCTAAGTTGTATAAAAAAACCGTGGCCATGTGGTCCCGATATAGAATAGGTCACTTTTTTCTTTCCCGTGGGTGTCGTAAGAGCCGACTAAGGGAGGGCGAGGGATGGGCAGCAACGTCCCTCTTAAAACTTTAAATCTTTAAAGCCTAACTGCCGTTGCCAAACCGCCTGCCAAGCGTGGCAACTACTGGTAAAACCCCCCCAGGGGGAGGCTTATGTTCAGCAGTGGACAGTTAAAGGCTGGTATGATGATGATGACGATGGGACATTGTCAGCATTTGATGAAATTAGAGATTCATCTTTTTAAATGTTTTCACATGTAACATAACCTAATTTTGATTCTCATTTCCATTTCATTGTATAATATTTCCAGGCATACATGAACTACAAGCGGAAATCGACCGTGGGCTGGTCCATCGGCAACATCTTCCTGGACTTCGTGGGCGGCTTCCTGTCTATCCTGCAGATGGTGCTCAACGCGTACAACTACAACGACTGGGTGTCGTTCTTTGGTGACGCCACCAAATTCGGCCTGGGCCTCTTCAGCTTAGTCTTTGACGTGTTCTTCATACTGCAACACTATGTGTTCTACAGGTGGGTTGGATACTCATTTATCAGGGTTGCCATGTCACAATTACATAATGTAACTTATAAGTACTTTATAATTACAATTGAACATATTCAAAAGCGCCATCTAGTTACAGATTTGTATATTCAAAGCATTGTGTACTATGGATACTAGACATCTGAGCAGTCCATCGGTAAGATTTGACACTTTGTCGCTCCCCTTTCCGCGGGCTTTGAGTGCCATCCACACTTGCCCCTGCACACGCGCCCAGTGAAGCTGTAAAGACCCTCTGCGGCGAACAGCAATTACTGCTCGAAAAAAAAAGACTTCTGATAAAAATATTTAATTTTCAAATGTACTAAGCAGTAGAAGTAGCACTTCAGCTACCCGCTAACAACATGCTTTCTAACTGCATTGGGTTGACTGGAAGAGATCTCTGTCAGAGATAAGTCCACCCTTGCTCACAATATTTATAAATGCATTAACAATGTAATTTACAAGTGTAATACTGAGTGCAATATGTATAAGCACTCAGAACAATACAAATAGACATACTTATGAATGTAAGGGTTTGTGTTGTGCGAGGGTCGAACTCGCGACCACAGGAAGGTGAGGCAGTGTTTTTAGCTTTTTATTTTGTCATTTTGCATTAGTATTAACCGCGTAAGTTCCAGCATAGAATAGGTCGCCGGATTACCTTTATACCCCTTCTTTTCCCGTGGGCGTCGTAAGAGGCGATTAAGGGAAGGCGAGGGATAAGCAACAACGTCCCTCTTAAAATATTATTAAATCCTAACTGTGGTTGCCAGACCGCCTGCCAAGGGGGGGGGGGGCAACTACGGGCAAAACACCTAAGGGGGTGGCTTATGTTCAGCAGCGAATAGTTAAGGACTGATATGACGATCATGATATGTTATTCTCAAGTATATAAAATGTCATTTCTATTACGTATAGAATTATTTTTAACTTAATTTTTATGTGCATTACTAAATCATTACTATAATTAGACATGGCAACCCTTAATTAATTGTAAAGTGCAAATATTGATTTGTGGATAATTTTTAATTAATAATTATCATATTATATCCACATTTCAACAAGTTATTGGTGGCGGGCGGCCTAACATAGTTATAAGGCTCAACTAACACTTCTGTTCTATACACTTTCCTATTCCTTTCTATATAAATAAAATCAAGAAAACATAGGAAAATAATGTTCGCGCGGATTACGGAACAACGTCTCGACAAATCAGTTTTATAAAACATGCGATGAATTGTTTATAAGTGCACTAAAACAGATACGAAATGGAAGTATAATAATTGTAAAGGTATTAGACGAAAACAGCGCTGTTTGAAATTGGAATGACTATCAATTTAAGAATTAATAACAGAAGAGAGACACATACATAAATAAAGAGAAAAGAATGAAAAAAAAAATGGAAGATTCAAATCAAATAAACAGGAGAGTGATAATTGACATGACGTAAAAAAAAAGTTAACAGCAATCGACACATTATACAAGAACCACTAAAGAATATCATTTGTAATATAAATGTTACAAATGATATTTTTGGCACCGCTTCGTTGAGTGACACGCTTTGCTTTTCGCGCCAAAACCGACCGCTTGAACAACAGCATTGGGGCTACCAAATATATTGACACTTATAAAGGAAATTTGTTTTGTCGTTGATTATTTCAGAGAGGGCAAGCAATTTGTTATTGTAGACAATAGTGATGAAGGTTCACATAACACGTGCAGGGGTGATGGAAGCGAGTACTTTTTGGTGAAAACGTGGTATGTATACGGTGATATTAATCGAGTATGCGGCTGTATCGCAATTAATGCAACTAGTATTAATTACTTAGTAGTCTAAGCTATTCTATACAGCTTTCACACTTGTAGTTAGTAGATATTGTTATTTTTTTTTTATTAGAATGTTTATTTAAATATATGTCGTTTTCTAGGAACGCCAACGAAAAGAAATACAACGTGAATGGGAAAGCGTGATGCGGACACGTCGCCGAGTCCAGTTTTCTGCCATATTTAATTACAGAATTCTATAGATTTTTATTTATTAAGTATAAATCGCCTATTTACAATTCCTACAAGATCCCCTAAAAGCAAGAACCTTCTAATTTGTAACATTAAATAGACTGAGTCTCGTACAAAATGCTCTGATAAAATGTCTATCGTTATTATGAGAAATAAAGGATAATATATTATAGATCCTATTTATACGGTGTTAAGGTGTCAAATGTTTGTTAAATTATTCGTTATGGAATGACATAGTCATATTTGTTTCAATGATCTGTGATGAATAACACACATTTTATATTAAAATGTGTATAAATCGTTCACTGGCATTTTTGTTTGTTTCAACCTAACCAGAATATTTGCATTTACTATTAGTTTATCAGCAATATTCTTTTATTTTCAATTTATACCCTTTCCCAAAATGTTTTACCTCCTTCCTCCCAAAAAAAAAAAAAAAAGAAATAACTACTTAAATTTAAATATAAAGTATATTCCATATTGATTACTATATGTAAGCGTAACTTTAATAATGCAGTTAGTATAAATCAAGTCGTAACGTTAGCCCGTACACGGCACATTTTGTAATCGTTTGATATAGTTCGTAAGATGTTTCGTGAATGTTATTATAATAAACGTATCTTGGTTTGGCAGTTTTTCATTTCAACACCTTAATAATATGCTAATAGTCGTCTGTGAAATACAATTATTTGATATAGTAATATTTTATGTATTTATTTATATATTTATATGTATTTATATTACATATTTTGAGTATATTTATATTAGTAATTAATCATGTATTTATAATGTATAAATATGTTAAGTATTACTTCATGTTTCCTTATACTTGAATGCACCATCTGCTTATGTCTATTTGCTCAATCGATGATTGGTGAATGGATGATGAACACCATCCAGTATTAAGGCCGCAAATGTACATACAGTTACACTGTAACATGATAAAGTTTAAATTAAGAAATTACCTTAGGAAATATCTTAAAGCCGGATCCACACTATAATACCAGACCTGGTTTGTTCTCGGTCCAATTTTAGATTGAATAAATGAACAAATGATACAGATTGTCTCGTTTGGTTGAACCGTTTGGTCTCGGCATAGAATAGACAACTCTTTTCTTTCTCGTGGGAGTCGTAAGAGACGATTAGGGTAACTTAATGGTCGAGGGATGGGAAGCAGTGCGATGCGATGCGATGCGGTAAATCACCAATATTTACACAAAAATTCATAATTACAAAAAGCGAGGTAGAGCCAACAATGAGCGTCCTTATCGCTTAATAGTTTAGTAAAATATTAATAAATAAGAAGCAATGTGTGTATTTATACAATAGTCCCGTCCAGCAGGTCTTCTCTTGAATCTAATATCGATATCAATCTAACTTATTTTTTTAAGGGATGATAATGGAATGGTAACTCCACCTGCACTAACGATATATGCTGGCGGGGCAACAATGAGGGATGATAGGTGAGAATGAAAGAAGGTCAGTTAGCCCATCGTGATGAATACATCTGGAATTCAACACGATGGTTTCCAAGGCAGCCACGTGGAGGTCGACCTGATAGAGTATATTGCTAGTAATGGAGTTGGTAAATCCCCATTACTAATAATACCTATCTCCTCATTACATTATATTTATAGACGTGATTCACACAGCTTCGAGTTTGGAGTTTTTTCTTATCGTCCAAGTTCAACACCAATTTTATGGATATCGGAGATATGGTATGAGTATACTGTGGCGTTTTAGTGTGCACACAACATAGTGGCTTTGTTCAATTATTGCAAATATCGTCCTTCCTGCATCCAATTTGTTTATGATACAATTTGTTCATGTATATAGGTAACGGCCACCATTTTACATCAGGTAGGTCATTAGTTTGTTTGCCATTCTAATTATTATAAAAAAATTGCACATATGCTCAGCATATGCTACAAGATATGACAGAAAGAAAAATATACAAGTTACAATTGTTGTTGTATGGACAGGGTGAATTTGGATAGAAATAGATACTTCCATTTCGTATTCCATTTAGGACAGACATTTTATGTTTATAAATTAGTCTGCTTATAAAGAATGACTTAAAAATACCCCATATCCGTAGAGACTTATAAGTATTTCACTTATAAACTACATATTCCAAAAATTTCTAAATACGTGCACTCTAAAATAAAAAGTGGCATGAACTTGGCAAAAGTGAGCTCAATATAAACTTATGAAATCTACGTACCAAATTTCATTGAAACTAAAATTATTTATGCAGTAAAAATATAAAAACGCTAAAATGAAATTTTATAAAACGAGTTGTACTCGTAAACTTGTTTGCTACCTTCGTGATATAAAAAAAGTGTCCCCACCACCCCCTCCAAGTACGTGTTTGTGTGCTCATAGCCTACTTTAAATGCTTATATATACAATAATATCTGACCTTGATACATAAAACTGTTCATCATGAGTTTCAATGTATGTAATGTATTATAGTTAGTAATTAACTTTTTGCCCGCTACTAAAAAAATGTCATTATAATCAAAAAGAAAACGCCTATACTATAATTATTATTATTAGTACCTACTTATTTTTTTTATATAAAAAAGTTTGTAAAAAAATAAGGTACAAAAGGTGAACTTAATGCTAATAAGCATTCTCTATCAATCAACCTTTGAAATGAATAGTGAATCAAGAACATGGCACTTCATTACTGGGATAGGTAAAGAAAAAAAATGTATATCTATAAACTATAAATATATATATATATATACAACTAGATAAATTTTTCACCACATCTGCCCTTCATACGCTTTCTGTTTTTACCCAATGGTTAGCTGGTAGAGAATGCCATATGGCATTAAGCTCGCCATTTGTACAAAATTTTATTGTGCAATAAAGAATAAATAAATAAATCAATAAATGTATAAATAAATAAGATGACAATGACTAGTTACTATTGTTGTAATGAGTTCATAAAGCGAGCATGGACTCTTCTTTTGAACATGAATTTATTTGGAAGCTTTTAAGCAGTGCATTTTGTGCAGTTGGCGAAAGAGTCGGACATAAAGCCAGATTTGTGGTGTAAAAAGTGAAAGGGAGATATTAGAATGAAGATTAAGTTACGGAGATATTGAAATTAACTTTTTACTTTACTTAATTAACTCTAATAAAATTATATATTATTGGTTTGCCTAAATCTATATTAATATTAATTAGTTGTTTTTATTTTTTATTTTGTACAAGACTTCCTACTCTCGTTCCGTGCTTGTAATATTTATGATTGTAATCGGTCAAACCTATCTTTTTTTTTACAAAATATATTTTTTTTTCAATAGTTTTTTTAAAAAAAAAAAACTATTGATAAAAAAATATGACGGTAGCCGCCTACAGTATATGTAGGCGGGTACTATATAACTCGAAATAAAAAAAAAAAAAACTATAAACTACTTATTGTTTCATAGTTAAAGTAGGTAAAGTCGTGGTACCTATCCATGTGAACGAGCCTAAACTCTATTATCGTACTTTATATGACTTAAATTAAGAATTATGTCCTTTTTTATAGAGCACTAGCTGTATTCGACGGCTTTACCCACGTGAATCAGTACATATAATGCATCCTATGTGTGAAGTTAGGAAATATTCTACCCGTACACCAAATTCCATTCAAATCCTTTCAATAGATTTTGCCTGGAAGAGTGACAAACATGCATCATGCATCCTTACAAACTTTCGTATTTAATATAGGTTTTTTTTAGACATAAAGCAAAATGCTAAGCAAAAAATCTTAATTTTTTTTCGATTTTATTTATATCAAATTTATAATAATTATTCTCTCAGTGTTCGCTTGATTTTTACCTCTTTGTGGACAAAAACTAAAATCTAAAAACATTTGTTTACAACACAGGTACATTGTTTTGTCACTTTATTTCAAATTAGGAATTTAGTACCAATGAAAGAGACAAAACAGTTAAATAGCTAAAATCATGGGTAAATGAGGGGTTTGACGTTTTTATTAATAAGGAGAGGGGAGGTTTATATTTATTTATTATTCCTACAAAGATAAAAGATTACAAAAAAATAGATTATATAATACGGCCTAATGTAAAGATTGAAATGTGAGGTCGTTTTTAATGTATATTTATGTTTTTTAATTTGCAGGGAATCCCATTATATCCTGCTTCCTGGATCGAGCGTAGCGAACGAAGATCCTAACGTGGATGTACTAGATAATGACCAGGCGCCATCTACTGATACACCATATCAGGCAGCGCCGGCTTAGTTGCAATTTGGAACATATCCTGAAGCGATAAAATTCAAATTCCATTGACGACATATGTTCCTGAGATTGCTCGATTCTTTAATATAAGAATGAGTGAAGATCTTCGTAAATTGATGACGAAATAATGAAATGCTTGAACTGTAAGCCTCAATCTGTATAGATATGATAAAATGGCGGTATAGTGGTGTTGCTAGCAATTTCAAGGGACAATTTGAAGTACATTGCGAGCTGGATCTAATACCAAGTTTTATAAACATTAACATACCTAATAGGTATTTGTGAGTTTTTTTTATATGTAACCATAGAATTAAAAATAATGTATTTGGGACACACCTGTAAGAATCAAGTGGATTATTTTTGTATATATATGAAGTGACTGCATCGACTAAATATACGAATATCCTTACAATGCAGTGTTAAACATACATAAGACTGAATAAGTGATGTAGTAGTTATGTGAATCCAAGACAATAAAATTTGAAAATTAAACTTTGTGTACTTATGTATACTTAGATATAATTATACCATAATCTAAAGACAGTTATTATATAGATATATTATTATGTTACTGATATATTCCAAGGTGTAAGGGAAAGGGTATAGAATAAACATGTAAGAGGTATATAAGAAACAGTATTTAGCTATAGTATTCAAGAAACTGAACAACTAACGATAGCGGTAGAGCGCCGTTTAAAGTATTTATATACTAGCTGTGTCGTAGGTTTGTACTAGCAAATTAATACACGAAGTATCCTATGTATTAATCTTAAAATTATAGTATCTCGTATCACAATAATCATTATAGAAATTATTATGGTTTGTTCTCGCAAATTAGTACACAAAGTATCCTATGTATTAATCTTAAAATTATAGTATCTCGTATCACAATAATAATTATAGAAATTATTATGGTTTATCCTCGCAAATTAGTACACAAAGTATCCTATGTATTAATCTTAAAATTATAGTATCTCGTATCACAATAATAATTGTAGAAATTATGCCCACAGTCACATTTTACCATGGTATTGCTCGCTATTCACAGGGAATTCATTCTCACACACTAAAACCTAAATAGTCGCGTACAGTCCGGCTTCAAAGGAGTTATCTTCCGCGAATGCTCAGGCTGTTGAATGAGCTCTCTGCCGTTATGGGGTTTGTTATAAAAGATATATTAAGGTTTTTTCAAGGACGGTTATGTATGAGATACTTCTAGTGTTGCAGGCGTCCATAAGCTGCAATAACCGTTTTTTTATGACACTACTTTGTCTGGTGTCACTGGTTCCCCCGACTATTACCTATTAGGACCTTGTGCATTTGTGATTCATACTATCGTTCGTTTCCGTTTATTCTTTCCTTCCATCTATCTTTCATATTATTCATTAATCTTTCATGCTTCATATTTTTCTCTTTAGCGTGGATTATTGTGTTCTTAATTTTATCTAATGTTGTTATCTATTTATCTATTACTATTGGTCTCTGTTTATAATTTTTATACTTTATTATATTGTTTTGATTTTCCGGGCGTTAATGTTCTTGTACTTGGTACCATCCCATCTGACGCGACATGAAATTTTATATTATGCCTTCCTGTTATCATTTTCCCTATGCTAAGGGTTACTTATATTACATAAGTCCCTAACATCAATCTTACTTCTCTGTTCTTTCGTGCCTTTATTATTTGTGGATAAATGAAGATACTCATATATTTTATATATTCATAAATAATATGTACATACTATATTATAATACATCAATCTACAATTTATTTATTTATACTATATTTTATGTTTCCATTTATCTAAGATACATATATTTCTTACATACATAAATGTCATTCGTACTGAAATTATACAATATACATATATTTAATTTATACAGGTTTTATACATTTAGCGTCTACAAAGGTTAAGCAAAACTGCTTTTTTTATATTATTATAATCTCTTTTCTCTCTTCTCGTATCCATTTTCTTCGTGTCATTTTAGTTGTCTTTTTTTTTCAAACAGTTACAACGTTAACTCATGTATTAATTTATTATTGTGTATATATTTCCGTCGTTATATACTATTTATATATAAACTATATCATTATACATTATAATTATCCTATTTATAACATATTTTAATATTTTATTATCTTATAGTAGTAAACATTTACAATCAGACGGGATGTATACTTGTATATTACATTTGATATATAAAAAAAATATTAAAATGCACTCAGCTGTTTAAGCGTTATTAAGTTTATTATGAAGATAGTATGATTACAACCTATGCTCCTGAAGGTAAGTTGTTCAGTTTCATGTATACTAAACGTATACACTAGCTTTTTAGACATATAAAAATATAAATCTATTGTTGTATAATCATAAATAATAATATATTAATAGCATCAATTAATGTCGTTATTAAATTATGGTAATAACTTTTGTCTTAGCAATAATGTTAATTTCATGACAATACTGTTAAAAAGCAATACATTTGGCGAAAAATAATGTATAAATGTATAGATCAACATTATGTTTTTTTTTTTAATTGTATGGAGAGGCAAAAAAAGCGGCACATTATGACATAAATAGCACTATATTATCTGTGGCACCTCTGTGTTGCCACTACTATACTCTTAATTAGTAATTATACTATTGCCACAATAAATAATGGATTTTGTACAATGAATTATAAATCTTTTTTTTGTGAAGGCTAGGTCATAAGGGATATTTATTATACAATATTGTATACCTAAATGAAATATGCATTTGATATTATATGCTACACATTCAACATTCTTAACCAATCGAAAGTGGGTACTTATCTTAGAACGTATATAATAATATTACAGTACACAGCCGTGCCCTTTTCGCTAGGTTGGGATGACCTCCCCTCCCTTTTTTCGCCAATATGACTTAATTGTGAGCAATTATAAAAGAAACACTTGTATGTATTTGTACACACAAGTATGTGTTCATACACATTTGTTTATCTAATGGTGAGAACAACAAATATTGTTTCTAAGCGACTTAAAAGATTTTTCTGTGTATATGTTTCATGTGATCTTTTTAATTTTAAGTCCATTTTGCGTCTTCTAATAATATTTATAAATTTAATTGGTATACAAATTAAGTGGCTATTTTTTATGCATAATTAAAATTATAATTATATATATTTTATACATACTTTTGACTGGTTTAGAGTTTTGATTGTTACATAATATTTTAATAATGATTTATATGTAGCACTAATCATTCATTGATTAAATAAAATTAATAGAATCGAAACTATTAATTTTTTTTTTTAATTATTATCCCGACGATGCCAAACGTATTGATTCTGTTCGTTTACACATATATTAGTGTGGTCTCGGTATAGAATGGGCTACCCCTTCCTTTAGGGGGGAAAGGGATGGTTAGCAATGGAGTTTGACAGCCCCATTGTTAGCAATATGCCCTATTAGGTCGATCTCCGCGTGGTACCCCCTGGAAACCATCGTGAGCAATTCTTGTTGAATTCGTCACGATGGGCTAACTGACCTGCTTCGTCCTCACCCTTCACTGGTGCCCCGCCGGTGTATACTGTTAGCGCCGGCGGGGTTACCATTCCATTATCACCCATTAAAAACCCCTTCCTTTCCCGTGGGTGTCGTAAGAGGCGACTAAGGGAACTTAATAGTCGAGAGATTGGCAGCAGCGTGTCTCTTAAAACACAAAAGCCAAACTGCAGTTGTCAATCCGCCTGTCTAGCGTGACAACTACTAAACTAAACCGCTTCACCCCCTAATAGGGGGATAGCTAGGTTTTGCAGTGGACAGTTAACGGTTGATATGGATGGACATATATATTACAAAGGAGGAAAACAGGGTACTGTATATACGATATAGGTAACACTTTGAGGTGCCGTGGGCGTCACAGTATTTTCAGTGATATACATGGAGCTGTTTATTTTTATAGTCGACGTTTACCACTTTCATCAGGTGGGCCGTCAGCGTCATTCCAAGTTACGTCAAAAAAACTATTAATACAATAAATACGAAAGTTTGTAAAAATGAATGAATGAATGTTTTCTATTATTCGCAAAAACTACAATACGGAATTTGGACGAAACTTGGTAGGTTATAATTTAGCACATTGGACATTTTATGCACTTATTCACACGGATATAGCCGCAGTATATAGCTAGTATTTAATATTTTAAAAATAATAATAATAAACTCTTTATTGCGCATAGTAGAGATATATACAAGGAGTATTAATACAGAATGTGCATATACAAAAGGCGGCCTTATCGCTAAAAGCAATCTTAAAGACAACATGGATAATGGAAAATTAAATTCATACATTCAACATTTGTTCTTACTGTAGAACTGTAATTTTTTGCAAAAGACTGTACCTATATGCTAAAAATAAGAGACCATTATGTTTGCAGTGGTCATGTGACGGAAATATAAAAATAGACCTTTGAAGTACCTAAAATTATCGGTCACCGATGCGAACATGATGAATTCTTATTTATAGTACTTACATATTCTAAACACGTTTTAGCACAGATTCGTACTAAATTGATTAGGTAACAATTTAAACAAACAGAACATTACCAATATAAACCAAAAGTGCAAATGGGGTTGTCTTGCGCCTGCGATATTTTTTTATTTTTTTTATACAACTTATGGGAAACAAGCTGACGGCCCACCTGACGGTAACAAAAGTAAAAAAAAAGAGGATCCGTTCTACACTATGATTCTAAAATTTACAAACGATCCTGTATTATCTTGATAGCTTAATGATAGTTTAGTAGGCAGGTAAGTAGTTATACCTTTTACATATCCTATTAATTAATAAATGCAAAAATTTGTAACGATGGATGGATGTTTGTTACTCTTTCACGCAAAAACTATTAAACGGATTTAAATTTAATTTGGTACACAGGTAGGATATATCCTAACTTAGCACATAGGATATTATATGTATTGATTCACAGGGATGAAGATGCGGGATATAGCTAGTGTAAAATAAATATGTAAAGCTGTAGATCTATATAGGTATTTCGATTTATTAATATCATATAATAAATGCCCCATTATGGGACTAGTGGGACGGGATATTTTTTTCTTTCAAAATGCATAAAACAACTGGCACATCGACCTCACTTGGCATAGTTGGTATTTATTATAATTAGACCACTAGATACTGACACTTGGCACTTGGCTTATTTCCAAATCACTTCGGTATACCCGGAATTAGATTCGTACCTATTTGGTTAATCATTATTTTTGTGCGTAACGAAATTACAAAGTCCACCAATTTTTCCCAGACGCTACGTTTTGTTTGTAATCTTTCTTATCAGCAAGGTAACGCATGTGGGTCTTGAGTTACATAACAATATGCCTTCAAACAAAAACCATCAGTCCCAGAGAAAACCTGAAAGAAATAATTATTTTAATGTCCCGTCTTTAGCACAGTTGGAGGCGTATTATTTTGCTTAAACATGGAACCGCATTTAATTTTTTTTTATACAACTTAGAATGGCAAACAAGCTGACGGTCCACCTGATGGAAAGTGGTAACCGTCGCCTATAGACATTAGCAGCAGCATGGACATAACAGAGTATACTGTTTCGCCCATGATACCTCCCATGCGTTGCCATTCCTGAGAACTCAGGTCTTATTCCTCTTTACCTTGTAAATTCACGCCATATCCCACCCTTCCAACCGAAACACAGATATGCAAATACAACTGTTTTACGGTTGTAACACGTAGACAGAGGTACCCAAGCAAACAACTTTTGTACAAAATTCTCGGTCGAGATAAGTCAAACTTGGCTGAACTCTGATTTTGCATACCATAAATAATCGAACCCAAATGTACACTAACTCGTATTTATATTTAATATAAAATGATTCATATGCATTAATTATCAGTTTATTATATGTAAATTCAATTGGATCTACTGATATGAATGCCTAAGCGACAAATCGCTTCTAAATTCAAAAATTTAGAAGAAACTAAAGGTCCTTTTGCAGATTCTCAGATTATAATGTTAAAATTGAAATTTTTACTTTTTCGATGTAAATAAATATTTTTGAAGACATTGGACCCATGGGCGTTGCACATTATGCATGTGTAATGTGGATGCACAGTAGGTACAAGCAATATTTTAAAATACAGCCCTGAAGACTATAACCTACTTATATTTTACCTTACCTTATTGTATACTCTGCGCACGACTGCAACTACTTCGGTGCAACAAAAATGTGTACCAATAACGACAATCCTAAGATTTCCTGTGACTTACCTAATAATTAATTTTCCACAAAAACTGACATCAATTGTGGCAATACCAGTTATGTTGATTTCAGAACTGTACTATTTGTTGAAACTATTTTTATAAAATTTCTGTGGGGTCCAATTTGTAAATATACTTTTTCAGATAAAAGAAAAGAATTTTTCAAATTGGTTTATAAATAACGGAGTCACGAGGTAACGAAGATAAAAAAAAAATATAACCAAATTGAGAACTTCTTTCTTTTCTTTCTTTTTAAGTTCGGTTGAAAAGACATTTTCAGTGTTCTACTCTGAAACTGGCATATGCGTATTTAAAAGGGAGTGCCAACCCCAAGATCCGCGATCCGAGCGGACCTTTTAACTATGCGTAAAAAATATGTCTTAGAACATATATACATATTCACCACTTTTAAGACCCCCTCCTCCTCCTCCTGAAACATTTAAATAGGCTGATAAATAAAAAAACAGTAACAAAACCTAGTTTAAGAATTTATTATGTTTGAGTTAAGATATTTTTAATAATGAGCACGTATATTTTTATCTATAACCAAAATAAAAATGCTAAATACCTTTTTTTTACAATAAAATCCATGTACCTATAGGCAGGTATTTACATATACAGGTGACCTTTCTCCTTGTAATTCATCAGGCGTTCGATGGACGTGGAAAATTTAAACAATCCAGCGTGTTTTCGTTGCGAGCGAATAAATATGAGAGACTGATCATGTTTGCTGACTGATGCCCTCGGCGGTGGATAGGCCACGTTCAATGTCATTGGTATGGTGAAGTTACGCATATTATATAATTTATTATATAAATAAACAAATTTATTATATAAATAAACAAATTTATTATACGTATGTTATTGAAAAACACGGGCGGGTATCAACGCTTATTCAATTAATAAGCGTCGATACCCGCCCGTGTATTTTCGATTCCAATCAACTTCTGCAGTTGATGAATACCTACTCATTGATAGGATTCTGCAGCTGTTATTCTTTAGCTAGATTGCTCCAATAAAAAAATAAAATTTAATAATTATCAAATACTCAAAATTTTTCATTTCAATTAATGTTTCATCATATCAGCCCTTATTTATCCATTGCTGAACATAAGCCTCCCCCTTGGGGGGTTTTCCCAGTAGTCGTCATGCTTGGCAAGAGACTTAGCAACCGCAGTTAGGTTTTGGAGATGTTTTAAGAAGGACGCTGCTGCTCATCCCTCGCCCTCCCTTAATCGCAATCAAGATGATGGCCCACATGATGGAAAGTGGTAACCATCGCCTATAGACATGAGCAGTACCATGGACATAACAGAGTGTACTGTTTCGGCCATGATACCCTCCCTACGTTGCCATTCCTGAGGACTCAGGTGTTATTCCTCTGTACCGTGTAAATTCACTGCCATATCCCACCCTTCAAACCGAAATACAACCATGCAAGCAACTGCTTCACGGTAGAAACACGAATGGGACAGAGGTATCCTCGCAAACAACTAATTAAGGTTGATCGGGATATGTTCATTGGTAGAGATATTTTTTTTTAAATTTAATTAGCATGCATAAATACATTTTAAAATAATGGATTTTTAGTACCACTTAAACCTCTTGGGCTTGTGTGTGATACTTTACACTTGGTTCTCAAATGGTTTTAGGTTTGATTTGAGCAAGGTTGGACAGTTAGCTTATATCCTTCTACATTCCAAATAATACTGTACTCAATGTGAACACCATATTTCATTCTAGGGGGAAAGAGATTGTTAGTAATGGGATCTAAAAATTCTACTGCTATACTCTATCAGGTATGACATCGGCGCGGTTTCCCTAGAAACCATTGTGTTTAATTCTTGTTGAACTTGTTACAATAGGTTAACTGACCTGTTTTGATTCTAACGTATTATCTTTCATCTGATGTCCCGCCAACGTTTATCTAGGGGTTGGCGGGGTTACCGATCCATTTTCACCCATCAAAAAACCATATTTCATATCGAGTGGACAGGCAACAAGCAAACACATTTTATCACATTTACAATATTGGTAACAATTCGTGTTAATTCTTTTATTTTTGTAGTGAACTTTTTTTTGTATATTGCATATGTATGTGTGTATAGATATAATAATGAGTAGGGATATATATTTACATTATTACATGTATTACATCTCCATATTTAGAAATGATAGAATTTTCGTCGTGCCTCCGATCAAACTGTTTATAATTACTCCTCCCCATCCAAAGGTTGCCTGAAAGAGATCGCTTCTAGCGATAAGGGCGCCCATTGTTTTCTTTGTTTGTATCTATAATAAGTTTACTATTGTAATCTTTTGGAGGAAACAAAGTATCTATCTATCTATTGATTATTTATTTTTTAATTATTTTGTTTCAAAATAAAAATGACCCAAACAGAATGTTAGTACTCAGTACTTACTTGTCTATTAAATAACATTGATATTTTACAATATTTACATATATAAATAAATATAGACGTCAGATGTGGTGAGTTTATCCATCTGTTACATATCAACATGCATGAAAATTTATAGAGACAATGTACACAAAATCATAGTAGCTAGTGTATCATGAAACAGCTGAAATGTTTTTGTTGATGGACGAAATACAGTGGCAAGTTAAAAATTGTTAAACCAAATTACAAGGAACAGCTTGTAAGCACTATATGAAGTTCTATATGAAATATTATTGGCCACCTTAAGGGTGTATTTTATATTATATACCATATTTATTTATTTAAACTTTAAGGTATAAATATAGCTAGGCTAGGTGATGAGGTGCTAATTGAAAATCAGCGTTTCTGCTTTTGCAGGAACCTTTAGCTGAATTAGCATCCTTTTTCTTTACCATAACACTGACTGATTTCTACTACATATAAAGAATATATAAATGTAAACTTTTTTTTGCTATATATATATTTTTTTTATTTGTTATTACTTATAATCTAAGTTTATGTAAGTGTTATGGTTTTATTGAAATAAATTTTTATTCATTCATTCATTCAAATATATAAGTAAGTATTAACACCTAACGGTGTTCTTCACTAGTTAACCATAAGGCAGATTATTAGGTAGGATTAGGCAGTGCATTTACTATTAAAAATTTAGTAAATTTTATTCATAGTATACGTAAAATAATTTGCCGCTTGGTCTCGGCATAGAATAAGCCATTCTTTCCTTTTCCATGGGTGTCGTAAAAGGCGACCAAGGGAGGGTGTGGGATGGGCAGCAGCGTCCCTCTTAAAACATCTTCAAAGCCTAACTGCGGTTGTCAATCCGCCTGCCAAGCGTGGCAACTATTGGCAACACTCCCCGAGGGGGAGGCATACATTCAGCAGTGGACAGTTAAAGGCAGATATGTTGAGAATACGTAGAATAATACTTTATACATGCACGAATATGTGCTTGTGAGTATCTTATATTATGGATATTTTTTTAAATTATTTATTTATTTATTACATTACATCTACTGGGTGAGCTTTACAGTTTTTCAATGCGCTCACCCAGGAAATCATCAGTACAATAACATATATAAAAAAGGAATAATACTCATAAAAAAAAAATCTACACCTTGTGGTCATTCGACGAAACTCCAGCAAGTTGGAGAAATATACATCCAATTGCGCATACCGGTTCAAAATATCATTGAGTAGTTTTAATGCAAGAGAGAGGGGAGCTTGCTTAGCCTTATATAGCTTTATATATTTTATTAATATTACCAAATGATCAACATATCTATATTCACGCCTAAGCCCTTAAGGAGTAGAAAAGATCGAGTGCCTCTATTTACAAACACACTTGCTTCATTTACATAACTTGTTTTATACTTATTTCCATGCATACCGCGCCGGTTCTGGAGACTCGATGATTATCTTACTCCATATTTTAATTGTAAAAACAATAGTAAATAGGTACATGAGCACTACACTTGTATATATAGACTATGCATTAATAAAGGGATGCTGGTTCTTGCAAAAAATCTGGATTTTGGATTTTTCATTGATCCAAAATATAGGATTTCTGCTAGATAACCCGATTGCTTCATACGAATTTCTTTAAAAAATATCAAAGCAGTAATGAAACTGATTTTGAAACTTGATACATTAGAATACACATAAAATTTTCGGCTCACCTGATGGTAAGTGACTACCGCCGCCCATGATCACCCACAACACCAGCGGCATTGCAGGTGTTCTGACGATTGCCTTCGATCCAATCATAATTTGGCTCTAGCGTTACCTGTCGATACTACTCACGGATTTACAAAATCTTTTACGGTTCAAGCTGCCCGCTTAGAAGGAGAAAGAACTGTTAATAATGGGGTTTAGGAGCCCCATCATTACTAGCATACTACAATACTACAATACAGGGTGTATTGCTTGTAATGAGACTACTAATATTGTCAGGTCGACCTTCTCGCGGTTCCCCCTGGAAACCATCTGTAGGCGACGGTTACCACTTTCCATCAGGTGTGCCGTCAGCTTGTTTGCCATTCTAAGTTGAATAAAAAAAATCATTGTGTTCTATTCTAAGCGAATTCATCAGGATGGACTAGCCGACCTGCCTTTTCATTCTCATCTATCATCCCTCACTGGTGCCTCGCCAGCATATACCGTTGGTTCAGGCGAGGTTTCTATTCCATTATCATCCATTTAAAAAAAAAGCTGTTCGCTTCCGGATCTCCTTATCAACAGATGGGAGAATGTCCTTTTTAGTAAACGTTCTAAAATCCCGTCGTAAGACACTCTGAGGTTATTCTGGAGATGCGTTAGTTTTTTGTATGTATGTATGTATGTTCGGTTAAGTATTTATATGTATATATTGTATGTATATATTTTATTGTTTATTAGTATTCTTATATTTGTAAATTATAAACATGGGATTTATGTAGCTTCTCGTTTAGAATATTAGAAGTGTTATGCATAGAGATATATCCTTTTAGTTGTATTAAGTAATATTTAGATGTGTTAATTTGTCCAGTATCCAGTATTGTAATCGTAATTGTAACTAAATAATATGATGCTACTCACATTTAACAATGTTGCACCAAAAGTAAATTGAACATTGCAAATGAGTGTTTTTATGTTTTAAATTGCACCGTCTTATGTTAAGTCAAAGGAAGTTTTTAATTAACCACTGAGATACAGGCTCAGCCTAGTTCGGTGGCTAGTAGATGTAACTAGGTGTAAATTGTTATTAAATAAAGAATTATCAATCAATACCAATCATCAGTATCACTGTTGTGCTCGTATTATAATTGTAACTTCTATTATTTTTATTCCAAATTAGCTATTATTTTCTTTTGGTCTTTACCAATTCACAATTTCTATTAGACACTCAAAGGTTGACGCCATTTGTACTCAATCTTTTCTTAATAACTCTGTATCCTACAATTTAAGACATTACTGTACAATAAAGTGTTACTTGGTGGAAAGGGATTGTTAGTAATGGAAACTGAGAATCCCATTGCTAGCAATATACCTAATCAGGTCGACCACCTCGCGGTTCTCCCTGGAAACTATCATGGTTAATTCCTGATGAATTCATCATGATGGACTAACTGGCCTGTTTTCATTCTCATCTATCACCCTTCACTGGTGCTCCGCCAGCGTATGCCGTTAGCGCAGGTGGGGTTATCATACCAATTTCACCCATAAAAAAAAGTGTTACAAACAAACTAACTTTATGTAGTGACGGAGTAACAATAGAATGTGTCAGTAGAGTTCATCATTCCGGTGAGAGGTTTTTATTTTCAACTGCAGGATGTCATAAAACTAGATAACTACAAATACAATACAATATGGCAATGCGGGGTGAAAAGGATTTTTAGCAATGGAGTTTGCTCCATTGCTAACAATACGCTCTATTAGGTCTACCTCCACGTGGTTCTCCCTGGAAACTATCGTGAACATATCTTATTGAATTTGTCACGATGGGCTAACTAACCTGCTTCATCCTCACCTATCATCCTATACTGGTGCTCCGCCGGTGTACACCGTTAATGCGGGTTGGGTTACCATCCCATTATCACTCACTAAAAAAATATGGCAGTGCAAAAGAAGAATATAGTAATAATAATAGTATAAATATACCCTATTTTTTTTTAATGGATGATAATGGAATGGTAACCCCGCCTGCGCTAACGGTATACACTGGTGGAGCACCAGTGAGGCATGATAGATGAGATTGAAAAGGCAGGCCATAACTGGGCTAACGCCCATCATGATGAATACACCTGGTATTTAGCACAATAGTTTCCAGGGAGACCATTTGGAGGTCGACCTGACAGGGTATATTGCCAGCAATATAGAAATCCGCATTACTAACAATCCCACCCCCCCCTCCAAATATAATAGGTATATCTTAAACTATAAAAGATAGACGCTACACCCAATTTACCCGCTAAATTTGCAAAATAATTTATGCAACCCGGCTAAAAAAGACATTCCTAGGAATTCGGATGTGTGGCTACTCTAAACATTTTCCGCGGCAAAAAATGACAATGGCAAAAACGAAACGTGATAGAAAATATTTACTGGAACGCGCGAAAAACTAACACGAGAGCAGAAGTGGACTGCTGACAGTACAAACTCAACCGTCGCAGGACAATCACGCGACCGGCGCGACGGACCGCCATGCCGTATCGTTTCGCGTAACACTATTTTTATTTCGAACATCACTAAAAGTGGCCTTACAATTGTTTAAAATAATAATAATATGACAGTATTTCTACGAATAAGTTACCTACTGTGATATTATCGTGAACTCTTAGTTATTTATTAAACAAATTTATACAAAATAATGGCTGATGAAAAGTGAGTAAACTATATAGGCGATTCACATATTACACATTTAATTACGATTCTCTTATTTTTTTTTTATATTTTAAGTTTATATATCTATTAATAGTTTGTATTTGAATAGGTAAAGAGAATGAATCATTAAAAACTATAAATATTTTGGTAGACACTCATTTTGAATTGATTAATCGGCCAAACACGTGTGACTACCATGTGTTTGGTACCTATACTGTTGGAGTTAAAATTGGATACATGTTTTTTATTTATATTATATCAAATTTATAAATATTATTAATCATTCCAATCTAAATATCATAATCTGTGCGCAGCTTTCTTTACGCATCATCTTTCCTTTGAAGTGCTTTGAAGCAGAGATATAAACAATCATAGAATATAAATAAATATATAAATAAAATATACAACTGCATATTTATCAATGTGCGAGGTATTTATTATTTGTTAGTTATCAGATATTAAATTATACATATTTTCACGCAGCCGGGTCACACACTTTTGGAGGCAAGTTAACCGGCTTGCCTTCAAATGCGTATATTTTTGCACAATCAACATGCATGCGGTCGGCGAGTGAACACTGTGACATGCATAATAGAAAAAATATAATTTTTCAAATTTTTCCATTATTGTTTTGAACAATTAGAACCTATTTTAAAGGTATGATGTTGATATCATTATATATGTTGACAAAAACAGATGTACGCGATTATAGATGTAGATATGAACAGATAAACCATCGTTTAAAATGGTTTACTCCTATGTTTTATAAAATATTATTGGTAATTCGAAAGAAATACGTTTTTTTGCTTTATAAAATTACAGGCGAGGTAGTAACTTTATTAAAATATTGCTATGAATTTTCAACCATACATTAAATTACTCTTGAAATAAATTCCAATAGGTCGATATTAAAATTGAAACGATTCTCATTCTCAAGTTATTGTAGACCAATCCCAATTATAACCTAATTCCTAACTGCTGTTTCTTGAGTGTAGTATAAAATTGTCATTAGTAATAGATTGGATTGGGGGGAAAGGGATTGTTAGCAATGGAGTTTGACAGCCCCATTGCTAGCAATATGCCTTATTAGGTCGACCACCACGTGGTGCTCCCTGGAAACCATCGTGAACAATTCTTGTTGAATTCGTCACGATGGGCCAACTGACCTGCTTCATATTCACCTATCATCCTTCACTGGTGCCCCGCCGGTGTATACCGATAGCGCGTACCATTCCATTATCATCCATTAAAAAAAAATAGATTGATATTGTTATTAGATTTAAGAGTAGACAGCAGTTTCGGTTTGAAGGGTGGGATATGGCGTGAATTTACAGGGTACAGAGGAATAACACCTGAGTCCTCAGGAATGGCAACGCATGGGGGGTATCATGGGTGAAACAGTATAGTCTGCTATGTCCATGGTACTGCTCATGTCTATAGGCGACGGTTACCACTTTCCATCAGGTGGGCCGTCAGCTTGTTTGTCATTCTAAGTTGCATAAAAAAAAAAAAAAAAAAAAAAATAAAAAAAAAGTTATGAATTATCAAACTATGTATAATTAATAATATAACAATAATTGACAAGGGCCGAACGAATTTTGAATTTTTCCGCATATTTTACTATAGAATATTTATGTGCCGTTATTTCCTGTAATGATGTATAAATCAAGAGGTAAAGAGACTCGCTAAAAATCGTAGTGAGTTCCATCGATAAGAGCTCAGCTCTTAAATAGGATAAATAGACAGATAGATAGATGGATTTCGTGTAATGTATAGGTGATAGGTGAACATTTCTATGTTACTATTTTCGAAATAAAAAGCCGTGAAAATGCGCAGTGTGGGTCCTATCATATTAAGTATATATATACCTCTTAAGATATTAGGAGAGGAGGGGGTGTTAGTATTAGGGATTAGTAATCCCATTGCCAAAAATATACCATTTTAGGTATATTCCCCTTTCAGGGGAACCGCGTGGAGGTCGACCTGATATTGATATTGATATCGATGGGGACTAACCTTCTCATTGAGGGGGGAAATGGATTGTTAGCAATGGAGTTTGACAGCCCCATTGCTAGCAATATACCTTATTAGGTCGACCTCCACGTGGTTCCCCCTGGAAACCATTGTGAACAATTCTTGTTGAATTCGTCACGATGGGCTAACTGACCTACTTCATCTTCACCTATCATCCTTCACTGGTGTCCCGCCGGTGTATACCGATAGCACGGGTGGGGTTACTATTCCATTATCATCCATTAAATAAAAAAAGAAAAAAAAAACCTTCTCATTGATAACAATCTCTTCCCCCTAAATGTTGGTAATCACGCGGATGCTAATAGTAACGGAATTAAACAAAATTCCAATCAACTTTCCAGTGATATTGGCTTCTTCAAAGTAACACCTAATTCAGTAAATTTGGACATGAATTTTATAAAATGTATGCACAGTACCACTTATGCATTGCAATTATCGTTTGAGAAGTTTTCATAAATTATTATATGCAATATCACGTGTGATCAGTTGCTATGGTTACGTATCAATCATTAGACGGCTTTATTTTATTTACTTTATGTTTATTATTTTATCGGAATAGACAGTTGTGATAATTACTTCTGCACTTAACTGTCGTTCGTCAACAGATTCACTTGTAATCTGACTTATAATTATTACAGCTTTGGTATTTACTAGTATTTTTTTAATGGATGATAATGGAATGGTAACCCCACCCGTGCTATCGGTATACACCGGCGGGGCACTAGTGAAGGATGATAGGTGAGGACGAAGTAGGTCAGTTAGACTATCGTGATGAATTCAACAAGAATTGTTCACGACGGTTTCGAGGGGGAACCACGTGGAGGTCGACATAATAAGGCATATTGCTAGCAATGGGGCTGTCAAACTCCATTGCTAATAATCTTTTTCCCACCCAGTTACTTGTATTACTTTATTATGTTTGTATTAAAGAAAAATGTATGTCCACTAGTTATTGTTTCTTAATACGCATACTGCTGTGTGGTCCCGGCATAGAATAAGCCACCCCTTCTTTTCCCGTGGGTATCGTAAGAGGCGACTAAGGAGTGCGAGGAATGGGCAGCAGCGTCCCGATCAGCGTTATTAAATGACGGTTTCAATAATAAATTACATAAGACTAGATATTTTAATATATCAGGTACGTTTCAGTACTTTATTTGGATTATTTTTTTCTCATAACTTCATCGGTGTGATCAAGAGAATATGTTGATTGACTGGAATAAATATTGTATCCAAACTTCTACGTATAGACTGATATTCTTGACGATTGGTTGAACAGTTAAGGCATTATAAAGTAATAAACAAACATATTTTCCCATTTGCAATATTAGTAAGGACCATAAAATAGATAAAATTATTTAAACGCGGAAACTTTCATTCAAACCAGCAGATAATGCAGATAATGCCGACAGATCAATTTACCCTCTGATTGGTTAGGTATAATTATAGTATTATTGCATTTATCTATCTAAATATAATGTATGTGAGATTACATTGGAATTAATATGCAAAATAAAAGTTCTTATAATTAAAAAAAAAAAACACGATCACTGTCAAAATACGAATATAAAAGTAAAAAAAGAAATAATAGCCAGAGTCACGCAGGATTTACATTCAAGTCGCATTTAAAAGTTATATTGGAATAAGTAAACTAATAAAAACATGCATGAACCCTGAAAACATTACGCTTATTTTTAAGTCAATGGTGTAAAATTAAAATGTCAGCTGTTCCATACATTAATAACATACATGTATATATATATATATATATATATATATATATATATATATATATATATATATATATATATATATATATATATATATATATGTGTATGTGTATAAGTTTTTATTTATTAATGTTATATTATTATTCATTTACTTTTATTATTTATATATGTAGGTATATAGAGCTGTTTTTATTGTGTTATATATTCAATTTTTTTTGCTGGGTATTATATAGTTTATCTTTAATTATACGGTTATTACCCTTATACATTCTACAGTTTTCTTTCAGCTTCTCAAAGGTTGACTGTAAGAGATCCCTTTATGGGATAAATCCACCATTGTATATTAAATCATTTACCAGTATTTAATCTGAGTTATGTACAATAAAGATTTTTACAATACAATACAATACATACATAGAGTATTTCTCTACAAACGCTCTCTAGGTATGTTTTTGTTCTAAGGTTTTTATTTTAATTATATTATTTTTTAATTGAGTGCAAATAGAAGTAGAAAAAATATATAAAAGTTCAAATAAAAACCTTATTTTTGTTAAAATAGGCCGAATTAAAAATACAATCGAATTAAAAACATAAACTCCAGTGATAATTATTTATCTTACATACTGTAATACTAATTGTATTCTTTCTTTGTACCAGTTTGTGTGCATAAATATGTAAAATAAAATACTTCAATAATCATTCCAATTTAGCAATTACATTGTCATTATAGTCGTTAATAGCGTGCACGGACGCGGGAAATCCTAATTTCACTAAATTTCTCGTTATGTTTGTTTTGTCTTTCTAGACTTATAATGGCGACTAGAGATAATACTGGACTTATAGTTTAGTCTGCTTATAACTATAATAGTTTATGGGATGAACAAATAAAATTTTACAGGAATCACAGAAATAATCCTAGTTTTGAATTTATTCCAAATATGAAAAGACCAAACAGTAAACAAAAAGTGATATCGACTTATACTTCCGAACCGATATAAAATAGTTTTAAACATTTTTTTTAATTTATTTATCTATTAATTTTTGTTTATATATGTATGTTATATAGAAAAAAATTACATCAGTTGAAATTTACTTGATCAAATAAGAATTTACAATAATTATTTAAATATAAATTAACAATATACTCGTGTGCTGTGTGGTCCCAGCATAGAATAGACCACCCCTTTCTTTGTCGTGAATATTGTAAGGGACGACTTAGGGAATTTGATGGTCGAGGCA